CGACGCGCGACGGGCGACGCGCGACGGGCGACGCGCGACGGGCGACGCGCGACGGGCGACGCGCGACGGGCGACGCGCGACGGGCGACGCGCGACGGGCGACGGACGACGCACGACGGACGACGCACGACGGGCGACGCACGACGGCAGATATGGAATTCCATACATCATTGTTCTCACCTTGAAAACAGGACAGTCGACAACCACCGAGTGAAACTAATGGTTTGGGACACGGCGGGACAAGAAAGGTTCCGATCCATGGCGCCCATGTACTACAGGAAAGCCAATGCAGCCTTCCTGGTATACGACATCACCCAGTATAACACATTCGAGAACGTGAAGACGTGGGTCGAAGGTCAGAGCCATTCGATATTGTCCTACATTCAGTTAACAATAATCACGTGCTTCAGACTCTTCAAAATAAGGAATCATTCGATCTGGACAAAGTTCACTTGAATTCTGTTTTAATGGTTTCAGGAAGTCCCCATGGGGAAACGATGAAATAAAGTCTATATAGCCTAGTTTTAGGACAAAGAAAGGCAAGGAAAATTTCAATTACTAATGTTTAAGATGTTGAATTACGGACTCAAAAATATTATGAAATTTAAAAAAGCGTTGAAATTGGTGAATTTGGAAAGTTATTACAAAATGTACGGTATAATTTGCTACGCCTGATGGGCGGGCTGGGGTCAAGGCCTCGTCGTGGCTAGAATCCCATACAGAGCCTTATCTGGGTTTATTATGAACTTGAAATAGCATCTTGATTGGCATATTAACTAGGAATCGTCAGTATATTCTAACATGTAATTCCAACAAGCAAAGCCTAAAAATATATTTGATAATTGAAAAATATTATTGGATTATTTGAAAATATCTTTTAATAATTTGCCATTTATTACAGAGCTGAAGACGGCAACAGAGAGTCCAATGGGTAAGAGAACACATAACTGGCTATTTAGAACGCATAAAACTGGAACAACGAAATCACACAACAGCTTGGTTTCATATCACGAATCATTTAAACAGGGATGTGCAAGTGTGAGCGGCTCTAGTGCAAAAACACGTACGATCTTGGCTCCATGCTCGTTACGCATTGTTCTTAACTTCTCTCGAGAAAACCTGCGACCACGTGTCACGCGTTGTTTATGAGTTTCAATTTACTCGATTTGTTTTTGACGAACTAGCTTTCGTTATTTATCACTTTTAAAGAGAAAAGAAATAGATGCAGAAATTTAGATCACGTTTATGATGTTCTTTCTTACCAAGTTCTGAGACGAAATAAGTAAGTTTTATTTTCAGAATAATCCTTCAAACACGCGTGCTTGGGGCCGTCATTTTGAATCCACTAGCCTTGACTGTCGTTGTTTATAACCTACTATCCATAAAAATATGGCATACATTTTCTCAAAAGTGGCTCGTTCATTCTTTCTTGAGGACTTAGGGCCTAGTTGCACATTCGAAGACAGCTTTGGTGTGTGTTTGACTTATCTTATCAGCTATATGAAAGTACTCGATATATAGTATTCGATACTAGCATTAAGCGGCATCTACATGGATAATAATTATTTCTGCCACCCCAAACTGGAAAATTTTGCACTCCAGGTGCGTGTACTTGTACATTGAAATTATGCAGATACCGTGAATTTCAACATTTCCTGGCAATGTCACAGTGACAGATAGACCTCGGTTTCAATAATAAACTTCATGTTAACTTACTGTACTTATTTGTGTTCGTCTTTCGTTCCGGCCGAGTCACTAAATTCTTACGGTAGCAAGGCTGTATCAAGATTATGCGGGATAAACGGAATCGGTACTAAGTTAGGTCGATATATGCAAACGCGTCCGGCAGGGAAGAGAAAAATCTAGCGCAAAACTGTCAGCAAATCTAAACCTTCACTCCTTTCTCCACCACAGCCAACTTCTGAAAACTTCAGGAAAAATTCGAATTTTATATTTTGAGACTTCAAAAATCACATCAAAATGTAAACTATCGCTTACGAAAAGAGCTTTTCGCACACACACAAAAACTGGTTTTGACCACTTTGCTGGTACTATTTCTAAATTTTATTTTCACAAAACACGTTAGAAAAAGGCCTTATCTTACTATGAGAATATTTTGGGCAGGAATTTTTATTTCCAAAAAGTGAAAATAAGACGTAAATGTCATGAAATGAAGCAGCTGTTTGCCTGGTACGAATTCCCATGGCCCTCATTACTTATGCAAATGACCCTAAAATGGGACATGGGCAGTTAATAATTTTCCTCTGAAACATACGTGAAGGGGCTGTCCATAAAGTACGTTCGCGCGAAAGGCCGATTTTTCAGACCCCCCCCCACGGATGGTGTACGCAGTGGCTCCAACCTCCCTCCGCCCTGTACGCATACACATTCCACAATTGTGTAAGATGCTGCCGGTCTATGTGTCATGAGTAATGTTGTAGTGTACTAATAATGGGCGTTGGCACGGGATGATAAATGGTGGGGTGGACGATACTGTGTGTTTCGACGCACCAAAGCTGATTCTGGCGTTTAGTTGTATGAAAAAGTGTATTAATATGACAAAGATTCAATAAAGGAAAATTTTCTGTTTGCGGACAGTACGCACTGGCCTGAACACCCCTCCCCCTGTACTCATGGGTATGCAATGGCACCCCCCCCCCTGTCGTGCGTACGTACTTTACGGGTGGCCCCTTATTAAGGCGTCTTGTTTCATCTACGTTATGGGTGAGTTATGTACATGATGCGTTCAGGCGTTTCACTTTCACGCTTGGCTTTTATTCCATAAAAACTAACTATGTGGAAAGGCGCTTTTATTTAGTCAAAGACACTGCCTTACACTGTTAAAGCTGGGGGTGTTATGGAATACAGTATTAGGATAATGTGTTTCTCCTTTGATGCTTTGGGCTCGTAACACACACTCAACCAGATGTGAAGTTGTACATCCCTGTGTAAATTGTCCGTGGTCTCATCAACAGATGTGGGAAACTGTGGGTGTCTAGTAATAATCTTATATGATAGTTATACTTCAATTAAAAAGAACATAAGTACTCATTTAAAATGCGTTGATATCTGAATAGACCTGCAAGACTGGCCCCTTTCGAATCACTTGTTCTTCGTGCTTCTTTAGTAGAATGCAAGTAGACACTACTATCGCCCCGCTATTTGCTTGCTTACACGTGGTCGTGCGTTGAGTAATTCAGGGTTCCGACACCACCATATCATCAACATTTTCCTTTTTGTAGCGTACACTATCGCCAAAGGAGTAATGTTTTAATCAATTGGCTGTTGTTCCCAGTTCTCTGCGTCCTGGGGAACAAATGCGATTTGAAGGACCAGCGCAAAGTGCAGTCAGACGAGGCCCTCATGTATGCTGCGTCCATTGGAGCGCTGTTCTTTGAGACATCCGCGCTTACAAACGAAGGTAAGCAATTGACACAATGCAGAACCAGATAGGGCACTTTGTCACTTTCCAACGCTTTCCTTCTCATAAACAAATAAACGCATAGACCACCAAGTACCAGTCTTGCACGTTAAATCGTGATTTTGAAAGTATACTGTAATATACAAATACAGCATGGTTTGAGGGGAATTAGTGGGAATTACTGGTCCTGAGGTGTAGGTCAGCTTGAGTACCTCCCGACGTGAAGCGGAGGAAGTAGTCAAACTGACCTACACCAAGGGACCAGTAATTTCCACTTTTTCCCCCAAATGGTAGTCTATAAGTTTATATGTCTGTGTTCCCCTTTGATCGACTCACCCCGTACATTGTGTGTACAGACGGAGAACCCTGCCTTCACTATTTGATTATCACGACTAAAGAAACGTATACCGAGAAATGTAGTAAACAAAAGTATATTGATACTCCCTTAAATTGACATGAACCCGTCAGTTCTCCTCTCAAAGTAACAGTAGCCATTACAGAATATTGGAAGTTCCCTGTGATACCAAATGTCATTTACCCCTTCTGTGGAAATATCAATCCAGATGTTGAAAATTACTATCTGCACTGGTATGTATAAATTGGCATCATGGAATGGTACAGCGTCATCCAAGCTCGCTAGGATGGTCAGATTGAACAGTTTGAACAAATGAATTTGTCAGTCACTTACCCCATGCAGCGGCATCTTTTCACATCATGCGTAAATACGGCCACGGGCGATTCACAATAATGCGACTCCAAGAACTTGCAAGGCGTTGGTCAATCGCAACGCGCGAAATCTGTAGACCCTTTCCAAACGCGCACCAACAGATTTCGCGCATCGTGATTGGCCAACGCATTGCAAACTCTTCGAGGCGCACTATTGTGAATCGCCCGTACTATGGAAGCCATTAACGTTTTTCTTTAACTATTTTAGGAGTACAAGAAGCTTTCTTGCGTTTATCCCTGGCGCTCATCTCTCTTAGTAAGAGCGCCCCCAATTGTGGGCTTGTCACCAAGGACTACGACTCTCGGAGAAAGTCGGAGGATTTTTTGTCCTTCCCGCCAAGCCTGGTGCTCCTCAAGGAGCAGATCAAGGGAGAAGAGGAAGAGAGAGAAGGGGAGGAAAAAGACAAAACCATCGGCAAGTGCTGCTGATGACCTATGAATGTTTCATGAACTGGATAGCAGGCGAATTCACCCGTATACAATGTTGTGGTAGTCCAGTCTAATTAAGAAAGGATTTCACTCTATACCAGACTGAATGCAGCAAAGTTGAGACGAAAAGAGTGAAATTATTGTGAAATTGGAGTGAAAGACTTTAAAAAAGAAAATTATACAGGAATATCCTTCAGTCTATTAAATATATTGCTTCCTTCCTCCTGTTGCCTATTATTTGAAATCACAGAGTAGGCAATTCAAGCAACTGAAATTGAGACTTTTCACATTTTTAGCAGATGGGCAGAAAAATCCGGACATTGTGTATGGCTTAATTTTGACCTTTCTTGTTTTATGAGTACAAAATGGATGTTTTCTGTTTGGAGACAATTTTCAGGTTTCTCGAAATGTGATCAACAATTTTCAGTAGTATCACTCAAAAGAGAATCAAAAATCATAAACAACTATATTTAAATCATTCCTGTAAGGGCTGCGTTTTATAACTATCATCTAAATGTAATTGTTTGGCAATTCAAACTTTTCGATTTTTTGGAAATTGTGGTTGAGTGGGTCAAGGTAAACAATTGAAAACCGAAAAAAGAAAACAAAAATCGACCTTTTGACTTGTATGATCTACACACTGCACCAGTGTTCCGTCGGTGCCAACCTCGTTCCCACGGGTACGATCTTGTTGCACCACGTTGGTTCCCAACATGGCTTCTGCGACCTTTTATTACTCCTGGTATTGTGTGGTTTAAATATTCCATTGCTTGGGGTATTTAAATTATGACTATAGGCAATGCGTTTACGCTCGTCACAGATTTGCGCGTGCATGACGTGCAGGAGAAGACGTGGGCGCGAGCGTGAAACTTTTGAAATACACGTGCGATTCACTTATGTTACGTTTAAGCAGGGCCCATATTCATCCTGAATAAACGTGAATAAAATGGGAGAAATGCTCACTGGATGAAACGACCCTAGCTTTCATCAGATTTTCAAGCCATAATTTCCCCGGCAAAAAAGTGTATGATTCAAACATAAAACAGTCGTCATAATGGTAATTTGCAAATTCTGCGAGCTTTTCCCCAAACGTGAAGCAACTTGCATCGTGCACCCCGCGTGGTGTAGGCCAAGCATGCATAATGCATATTACACTGGTTCTTGCTGCTATTAACGAGAACGACATACTAACTGCATGGGAGCCAGTGACCCCCGCGACTAGATAACACGTTCCTATCTTCAACAACCCAAAAACATTAATCGATCACAAACTTCGGAATGTTTCGGTCTGGTTATGTAGTTAACAAAATTAAAGTACTCTTTATACGTGTTTCAGTTTCATGTATTAATTTCGAGGTCTCGGTGCACGTATTGTCAGCGGTCCAGTGGAGCTTGATTTTGTGTTGGCTCCTCACTTGGCTTATTTCCTGTCCCCGTCGGCATCAGGTCGGAATTCCATTCCAGCTGATGCACCGCTGCGCAATAAAAGAAATCTCACGTGAACATTTTGCATAGATTTATCTGGGACTTGTTATTTGGGACTTGCAACCATAAAATTTTCCCCCAAATCGTATGTTATAATAAATGAATTCTTACTAAATAAACAATACTTTAATTTTTGAATCATCTTGTTATCTCTGATAATAAAAAGTTAAAACATTTTCCTGGACCATCTCACAAAAGTTTTCAAAGTCAAAAGTCCGGGACCCTCAGCCCTGTGCCACCATATACCGTCAGGAGAGCCAGCCGTAAGAAAGGGTTTAGACACGTAGCTCAAATCCCGCTTCGCGAAGCATAAAAGTATGAGTGAAAACGCCAATACCGCGTACGAGACTAATTAGTCAGGTAATGGGATACGCATGATTTGCATCCAGCATTAGACTGGTAACCCTAACCCCCCTAGGATGTATGTACAATCATATTGAAATTGGAGGATTCGGTACTGTTAGGGTTAATCTTGTCGCCACCACGCACGAAAAATTAATGATGCATGCCGTGACTATTGTTTTCTCTTCCTTTGAAAATGCTAGTATTTTGTGAGGTTATTCTGCGCTTTTGATGCATGACAGTAAGATAAACACCCTGAACCGAAAAATCATCGTTACTGATTGATTTTGTGTACAAAATCAAACGTACTATATCCTCTTGGATGTGTTCCCAGTTTCCCGTTTTTACCCCGGACATAATCACGACAATCGCCTCTCACATCATGACGCCATCATTTTCTTTAAAAAAAATTCATGTTTTTTCCACTGTTCCAGCATTTGGAAAGATATGGTGTCACACGTTGGCATTGTCTCCACATATTTGTGATTTTCAACGGGAAAATCGTTTAAAACTGTACCTATCTCAAGCCTTTCAAAAACGGAAAACAAAAACACGTATCGCATGTCGGTGTTCGACTCCTTGGATCGTTCGAAATGTTTTTTTATAGGAAACAAAAGAACAACGTCGATGACGGCCCTACATGGTATAGATAAAAAGATAGATATCTTTAAAATTTTGATTTTAATGCATTAATAAGTCAATAAATATTGATAGAAAAGGACTCTTTTAGCCGAGTTAAAGGTATAACTTTCAGTAAGCTCCGTTTCGCTGAACTCACTACTATATATAACGTTTCATGTATTTGGTGTTTGAAAAACTCAAACCGCACATGAGAACCGGTGACAAGCGCTTTTCTATAAGTCAGTGATTTATAAGATTTATTGTAATTGTTTATAATAATGTTTGTTATTGCGGTGAACCATTAACACCGTGACTGCAATCAAACACCACCAACAACTTCACGTTTGGCTTGCCTGCAAGATTCAAGATTAATTGGTTCAACCAATCATTAACAGAAAAACCACTCAAAGGACTTTGTAATGTTGGACTCGCATAAACATACAAATAACTCCATTAAAAATAATTACTTTATAGACGAAATGAACTGCCTCATCATGCCATCTTTTTTTTACTTCACAACATCAACTGGATTCATAAGCCAGATAATTCAGATGGGACCAATAAAACGTGACTTATGTATAGCAAAGTTCGATTTCAAGGCTACATTACAGGATCGGATCCAGGATTTTTTTTTTGGGGGGGGGTTTTGTTTGTATAAGATGGATTACCACCTGTAGTTGTCGCCGTTGGTGAAGCTACTTAATGTCCTTTTTCGTCAACCGCGCACACAGGTGATTGATACTTTTTAGGGGGGTCTTCCAACCTTCAGACGTAGGTCCCTTAATAATACCAATGAGCAGGTTTTTGCCCCCCCTACACTTGTATTATAGGCCTATTTGCTTTGGCGTTTACAAAATACTTTCGAGGGTGAGTATCCTTGAAAGTGTTTTTGATCGTTAAAGTAAACGAACAGTGATCTTGATTCAAAACCAACCCCATTTTCTGTCCTTAATATCAATAGGTCACACCCAAGGCATGTTTTCTGGTAGTTTGCTATGGCACTTCGTCAGCTCTTGTCCCTTGAGAAAATTCAATTCTGTTCGTGTATACAAAAACCTGTCTTAGGCAAATAAAACTACAGGTAGTCATTATTGCAAAGATCAATCCAAAAGACAGCTGAAGAAAATGACTTACAACAATAAATGTTTCCCCAGTTTCAGTTCTTGTAAATCTGCATAAAATGTACTTATGCATTTATTAAAACAGCCTTGTAATTTACGTTTTATTGTAATAATTCAGGTAAAAGTGTCCTAAAATTCACATTTTGTCACATTCAAGTTATCAGCTTTGTGTCAAAGCTTCTTTCGGGATTTTCCGACATTGCACCTGCTCACTTTTTTTTGGTTAGTTTATGCAAAGGAAAAGAGAGCACCAACACTTTATCGTATTAAGCATTTATTGATACCTTGTATATGAAAACAATACGGTTAATTCAATTGTGATCAGTTAGTTTGAATACACCTGCATCAAACCCCCATAAATAAATTGCATTAGCATAATGAGTACACATACATGTATGTTATTGCCAGTCTTTTACAAGAAACAACAGAAGGGTTTAATTCCAAAATTAGATATATCCATTCGAAAAACATGCAATTTTTCCACAATTATGAAAGATCGAAGAGCTTAACAGTGTACCATTTATCCTTAGACTTCTTCTTTACTGTACAGACTCATTAAAGTTACGTTGCGCTGTCTAAAAGCTGCAGAAACTGATGGCAGGCAACTAAGAGAGGGTGAGATTCTGAAAGATACCAAATTGGCACCTATCGCATTTTGGAAATAAACTCTGTATCAGTCCTTTTGTCCTGTATATAAAATTACAGAGGTGACCTGTTCATTTGCGATTGTTATATACACGGATAGAGTTGGACGACAAAAATTCCTTTAATTTTTTGAGATTTGGTGAGTAAAATTATATTGAATGTCTACACCATCGTAAGTCCTCCTTAAAATTCACAAGATCCAGAAATTGTCAACTTAATTAAAGCATTGATGGTTACTTTTACAATGTTTAAACTTCATAAGTGATTTTTATGAAAAATACGGTTGTATATATTATGAAAAACGTGCTTACATGTTGTGTAAATATTAATCCATCTTTTGTCTTTTACGTCACCTATATTGATTTCCTTGTTGAAACTTTACACATTCCAGGAGATGTTCTCCCAACCTTTTTTATATTTGTCCTAATATTTTGGACATTTAATAACAATAAAACAAACTAAATTATATGTATTCACACAGTGTACCTGACTATTACTGAAATTATTCCAGTGTTGGCGTCAGGTGTGACACTTCCTGCCTCAGGCCTCGCCCACGTCAGATATCTCCAGTATTGGAATGACCGCATACTTGATTGATAGTTATTGATAGGAAATGATAGTTAATAGTTATGGGAACTGCATGGAGCAATTAGTCGGCGACTTCTTTAGATGTTTGTGTTATTTACATGCAGTCGTAGCTACCCAAATCATTTCGTACTTCGTCCAAGCTAACCTTTGCGGTTAAGGCGATCCGTGCCGCAGTAAGTTTCAGCTTACACGCGAGGAGCGCACGGCGTTCAGCAAAAGACTAGACGAGCTGTGATTCCCAATTTGCCTCAGCAAATGTCTTTACCAACGCGTTTTTCAAAGGCTTTATGCTGAATTAATTTTGTTATAGGATTCTTGAGAGCACTTGAAAGCCTTCGATTTCTTGATTTAGGAGGGACACCCAGTGGGTTCGGTCACAGTTAAAACGCTGACACCATATTTTTTATATAGATATTATATATTTTTATAGAGGGCAGACAGGGCCCAGGCCTTGAGCGGGAATGGGTGGGGGAGGAGCTGCCCCACCCCCCTTAGTTACGTCACTGGTAACTTTCTTTTCGACCAATCAACAAGTGGCCGTACAATATGAAGCAGAATTAGAGTCAAAAAGATCGGACCGTGTTTTTTAAAGAACGGAATGAATTTTTTGTTAAATCGTGTGTTAATTTTTAAATCTAATGTTACTTTGAAATGTACAATGCACTTCCCCAAACCGAATAAAATCTTACCAACATAACGTCTTTTTTCGGCTCGAATGAAATTTTACAGACGTAACATGTCTTCAAGATTCAAGTGAAATTTTGCAAACCTACCATGTTTATTTTCAAGATTCGAATGAAATTTTAAAAACTAACTGTTTCAAAAGGTTCAAACGAGATTTTACTAGAAGTATTTGTTCTCAAGACTGGAATGCATCTACCGACATGAAACAGCTGCGGGTTTTAAGTTCGACAAATACGAATCTCTAAACATGTTAGATCTGTAAAATTTTATTCGAGCTGAAAAAGATTTTCGGGAAGTGCATTAGAAATTTCAAAATACGCTCTGTTTCAAATAACAGTGATGCAGAAAATTCCTTCGTGTTCGGTCACGTGGTATACAATATTAAAGTGTAGCTGCAATAAATTTTTCTTTTAGAACATTGTTTCCGCAAGTTTGTACTTTTACACGGTGTCAGACAGGCGTTCTAAAGTCACGCCGACCCAAATAGAATAAAGAGCGACGCGGGTCGACCCAATTAAATTTTTCTTGCAGACAGACGAACTTAATACATGCATTTGAATTGGGTTCGGCCTATGAAAAGAGCGACATATGAAACTAAGTCGCGTTAGTGCTGTTCCGACCGGTATAGCACGCCTTGTCGCTGCTGTTTTAGACGTCGAACTTTTACTGTACTTAATTCAAAATTTGCTTTTAATTTGGTTTGGTGTGACTCTGGAACGCCTGTATGAAACGGGGTTATATATCATATGAGAAGTGTTTTACATTCCTATTTGGTTAAATACACGAAAAAGCACACCTTTTAATTAATTAATTAATTTTGGTTTTTTTTTTACAATGCACGACGTGTATTATTGTGTACAAACGAACGTAACATACACGGTTTCAAACACTTAAAAGTATCTATGCTTTCTTGGACAACTGATGACGTCGTTGCTGTGATATATAATCCCGGGAAGATGTAATCTAATGCATGGGTTTTTCAGAATTTACTGACTGAAAACATTTTTGAAAAAGGGATGGACGATTCCTTATTTTGCACTTAAGCAACAATGAACAGCAAAGAAGAGCAAACTTAGTCCAGCAAAATCTACAAAAACGCAGGACTTTTTTGTAGACAAACCAATGTAACATTGAGGCTTCTTCCTGGGATGACATCACAGTTTTGCTCATGACTATAGAAAACTCATAAGCATAAAAAAGGCAGTAAAGTGCTCTTTAAAATAGTGAACAAGAGTTGAAAATAAGGTTAACTGAAACACAAAGCTGCATTTTGAAGGTTTGTATTATCCCTTCAAACATTCAGCCATGGCATTGCCATTGCAGAGGAAGTACTTGAACATAAGCTCCACGCTTGATGCACCAAGATATTGCCCAAGAGTTGTTATACAAACCTTCACTGCAAACTGCCTACATTCTCAGTTAACTGTTACATTGATCACAAAGGCATTGTCTTTTGATGCAATTATAGCAACGCCTATCTGAATGCGATCGATAGAAGAAATTACTGGTGTATGTTGGAGCAAGCAAACTGTGACATTCAGTACAAGATCTTCAATATCAGCATGGTGTGGATGAAGCCATGACAGTACTGGGTAATCATCGCTGTGACTTTTTCTTCCTTTTGACAGCTGCTTCAAATATTTGTTTCATCATTTTGCAAGGCACTGCCCGGATCGGCCACAGAGACGTAGGGAGGAGGTGGCTCCGATAGACCTTGTGAGTGGGGTGGCAGATCGAAGTCCTCTGGTTGCGATGAAGTGGCAGGCTCAAACTCATCAGATGACCGGAACTCCTTAAAGTGCCGAGGCTTCGGGACAGGCCTCTGAGAGGCAGGTCGTAGAATTCTATTCCTGTGGGGAGCAGTGACCGTGCGAGCTGGAGTATCAGAATGCGAGAGCGAGGGATGGGAGTGGGTGGAGTTGTAGTCTGAGTAGTATGGGTCAATGCGCGGTACCTCGTCCTCGGTAGATCGGTACTTGGTACCTTGCTCAATACCGTCGAACATCGACCGGCCTGACTTGGCCCGAAGATTTGCTTCCTGAACTAGCAAAGGCATGCGGATGAGGTCCATCACCCACCCCATCCCAAGCAAGCCCAGCGTGAGTAGGTAGACGAATCCCCAGAAATACCGGCCCAAGTAGAAGTTGTGGAAGCCAAGGATTCCACCGGGGACGGCCAGAATATAGGCGTCATCGAGGTAGTACATCTGCGGTTCCTTGATTCCTTGAATCTCCTTCGCCCGTCGCTCATTATAACGCTTAAGGTGAATAGGCATGCGGATCCAGTCGCTCACAAAGCCTACTGTGAGCAGCCCCAATGTGCATAGGTACACGAGACCCAGAACGTGGCGGCCTAGATAGTGATGATGGAAACCTACGACGGGAATACACGTCACAAATCAATATAGGGTTAAAGGTCAAAACTGAGGTCAAAGCTGAAATAAAAGATTAGACGTTCCCATTTTGAAGACTTTTACAAATATTTTCCCTGCTTACAGTGGCACAGATTCAATGGAGCTAAAGGGATATTTCCAATCTCAAACATGTTTAATAAGACTTGTAAAAATATTGGTCCTGTTCCCTTCACTAAAGTCGTGAGCACTTCAGTGTTTTATTTTACGGGAGTTGGCCGTTGTGACTGATGAGGTTTGATTTTAGCACAAACAAACCAAACCAAACCAAACCAAACCAAACCAAACCAAACCAAACAAAACAAAACACAAAACAAAACACAAAACAAAACAAAACACAAAACAAAACAAAACAAAACAAAACAAAACAAACAAAACAAAACAAAACAAAACAAAACAAAACAAACGAAACGAAACGAAACAAAAAATCCTTCAAATAGTTAACCCTTTATTGTAAAACATAAAAACCACTCAAAGAGCATGAACAACGAGGCTGTCACGTAAAAGAAGACATTTTTGTGGCAATTTAAAGCACATTTGTTTCTTTCGCCTATTATTTGGCCGAAAAGTTACATCCCAAGGAAAATATTAGATAAAGCATCAAAATAGAAACGTGGTGGTGGCTGCGGTGATGTTTTTTTTTTTTTTACAAATCCTTTTGTAATTTTATTTTTACCTAAGAACCCAGTGGTGAATCCGAGGAGGTAGCAGTCAGACAAACGCTTCGGTTTTTCGTATTTGAACCTAGGTATCTCGTCTCCGGTCATGGTTTCACAGATCTCATGTTCCCATATCCATTTCGCTTCGATCTAAAAAGAAAATTACAAAGAAAGCAGTCTATTCCGGAAGCTCATGAAATATACACTGTGAGAAATGATGGAAACATCTATTTCCCTCATCTACATGATAAAGCAGATACGTCTTACTGTTAATCTCCGAAGCGCACATTTCCAATATTGATAATACTCTGTATTGTTCCTAACCGCTGAGGGCGCTGTGTGTGATGCGGCCTTAGGGGTGCACTGAACCAATTCAAACTCCCTTGAAAATAGTGTAAAATCAACCAAGTTTGGAGCCCTATGGCAGGCAACTGAAGTCCCTGAGGCCTCTCAAACAAAAAACAATGTGTTGTTTGGTCCTTCAGATTTCATTTGATTTTCAGTTTTTGGTAGGTTAACCAATGAATTTGTTAATTATCCGCCAAAAACAAACTCACCCCCTAAAAGTAAATGTTCCCAAGTCTTCTCAGCGGCCATTTTTCAAATGAAATCCCTCACCTTCCTGGGGCTCTTCTGACAAATTTTCAATCACATTTTTGTCTGCTTTGCCCCCAGATGGGTGCCCCTGAATCTACAGACATGATTCTGGGCCATACTGACACAATTCCACCATTTTTTGGCCCAAACAGACCGCTCTTTTCGAAAAGAGGGGGTACTTTTGGGCGCCTCAGGCTGGCGGAGAATTTTTTCTTGAATTGGGACAGTGCACCCTTAGGGCTCCATACCACAGACATATAAACGCATAGACCACCAGATCCTATTAAAAACTACAAGGGCTTTTCGTGATCTCCACGGCGCCCGACTAAAATCAAAACTCAGTATGGGCGAATTCACTCCTCAGTATAGGGAATTTGCGCACAGTTGAAGAATTCCAGCCATAAAATTCTACAAAGCCATTTCTCGATTAGGGATTCGAAACAATGCAGTTGCAATATTTGAGAAAAAGAGATTGCTGTACTGAAGAGCAAAAAAGTGAACGTATTTGGGAGCACATGCAAACAAATACAGGCAGTATAAGTGCGTTGCGCGTGATGTTCGCTGAACGGGTTATCATCCATCGCTTCGCACACTGTTTGCCCATTCAAAATGACGGTTACGCGCGCAAGACCGGCGGTCTATGCGTTTATTATGCCTGTGCTCCATACAAATGTGATGACTAAAGCTAGCTAGGTGTAGGTCGTTGCCGATTGGAAGTATGTTGGGACAATAGACCAAGCTGTAACTGTGGAATCCCGTTTCGAGTAAACATAAAAAAAATATAAAATGTGAAACCCAAATATACCGAATCAAAAGTATTTCCGCATACAGGTTACAAAGTGGCCGATTATGATACACTGGATCAACAATGACGGCTACCCCTGGTCAGCATTAATCGGTACCTAAATGATACGAGTCTAACCTAAATCCTTTCGTGGAATTAACAAAACTCAAAGTGGCCTGAAATATATTAACACTAGGTCAGACCATTTTGTTTGTTTTGATTTGGCATGTGTTCCATTTTCATATCAACTCATATACCCTGAACTTTCTCTGGGCCCGGAACAAAATCTGATTTAGACCCCTTTCTCCCACCTTTTTAAAGGACTACCATGATCTTTGAAGTGCACCGTCCACTGTCCAGCATTGAAAAAAAGGTCACTTGGTAATTTGATATAATACCTCCATATTGGCTGCGTTCACTAGCATGGGCATACGCCAGAAATCGACCAGCCAGCCGAACCCGAAGAGGCCGAAAGTAATCAGGTATTTGAAGCCGAAAGAAGCGTTCTTAAGGTAGAAGTGATGGAAGCCCAGCAATCCGAAGGGGAACCACATGATGTAGGCGTTGACTACTGTCTTGAGCATGGTCTTGGGTACTGGGGGAACGGACCGCGGGGGCTGGGCTTCTTCCGGACCTCGTGGTGGAGGTACCCTTGATTCACCCGCGGATTGAGTGGTGTTGGTTGGGAGCAGGCTGTGTTGACTTGCCTGAGGAGTTGCCATTCGGCTGGGGCCGGCTCCGTCATCGCTGCTGCCTGTCGTGCAGGCTAGTAAATGTGACCTCTCAGATGCCATAAATGGTGATGGACTAATACTATGGAAACTTTGATATTGTTTACTGCGGGAGATGACATAAAGGAACGCCCGAATAATCTATTATTTGGGGCATAAGGAAGTATGCTGGCTAATAGAAAATTGGGTTTCAAATAAAAAAGGCGTATACCAAACGCCAAGTAAAACCATCATGACGGTTTGGTGAATTTACATTGCACATTTTAATTGAAAGACGTCATTTCAACTGTAACATGCATACCAGTAAACGCTAGTTGAGAGAGTTTTTACCGCAGGTACTGCGAGCATGTTTGAACTGTCCAATCAATCACGGTGGGACTCTTTGTTTCGAATTTGCATAATCATAATATAATAACACGTAGAGATTAATAAAAACATACGTGCAAGCAATGCATTGTCCGTTAACTTACAAGTAACTGTAGAATTTCGTTTTGTTCTGCTCAGTACTCACCTTCATGTAGCACTCAATTCCTAATCCAGTCATGTCATCATACACATCATTGTATTTTCCGACGTGATGCGCATGCACCTGCCAATTCCAAACCTCATACTGCATATTATTCTTCTACACTAAAGATAAAGAGGCTAATTCTTATATTTACAGCACAGAGGCCTGTCGTTTGCGGAAAAAAAATGGCCTTTCCGAACAAAGTTCAAAACTCAGCCTTTGAAATGTCTTTTTGTTAGTTTATCTCAGGTACATAATACAACGAGTATTGATATCACAATCACGGGACGGACTATACGTGTGCTGGTGAATTTCCAGAGAGTGTATTTGTAAAATGCATGGAGAGCATAGGATGCAATTATAATGTGGGAATGTATGTGATTTCCCGCAACTTTTTGAGCATAGAATTGCCTACCCCATTTTTGCTATGAAAAAAAGCAAATGAAAGAAAAGAAAACGATTGACCTATGCCATTCTTAGTAGGCCTAACTTATGTGCTCATAAAGGATGTTTGAACCCCTTCCTTAAAGATGGGGGAAAAAAGAAAAGGAAAGAATAAGAAAAGAGGAGCAAAATGACATGGATAGGGAATGAACACAGTCAATATCTAGGCAAATGCGTCTGAACAAACCACCCCCTCTTGTACTCATGATGGTTTGTTTGTCTGTACTGTTAAATGTTTCCCTTTTGAAAGAGCCGCGCCCTTTCCTGGCTATGCTCATGTCCAGTTCGACCATTGCTGTGACAGTTTCAATAGGTCGAACGGTAAATCAATCCCAAACAGCACATCTAATAATTGGGCACAATGAGCTATACATAATTCACTAGAGCGCTCACTAACTGTGCTACATGAAGCTCAGTGGGGGCATTCTTGTTTGTGCACAAACCTATAAAAACCTTGAAATCGATGAGAAACCTCTCTATTCCCAAATGGAGAAAGAAATACAAGTACCCTCACTTCAAAATCTTGATAACAGGTTGGTTAACACAGCATGGCTATCGCGAGGGGAGGCGCGGAGGAGGGGGAAATGAAAAACAAATGTGTGTAAAAAAAAGGAAAGCACCTCGTTTAACGGTGATGAAAATCACCAATTTGCTCGCAAATACCTTGGAATTGATCCTCGTCCACTATTAATGCTTTGTACGTTTACTGCTGCTGAGTGTTCTGCCATTAATAATCACAGACACACGCACAAAACAAAAACAAACTAGCAGTGCACATAGTTTACAGTCTTTTATGGGGCTAATCGGGGCAGATTCTGTTATCAAAAACTAATTAGGAACTCATTTTGCCACGCTAACCTCCGTGGGACTAATGTTCTGACAAAACTCACTTTTATACTACGCTTGGAGTCTGCGACAATTTTCTGAAAATAACAATCATTCGTTTAAGATCCCATCACTTCGCGGGTAAAGACTCTGAATGCTGTTCCATGGAGGAGTTGTGGATCCAAGTTTTGGCCTATTTCAAAATCGCCTCTAGACTTCCTCTCAGTCTGCCTCTTTGTGGCCGTCCGGTTCATTTTTATACATTTACAAGTGAATAATGACCCAAACGACGATAATGTTCCAGCTTTCAAACTCGGGAGTGTGATTTTTTGAGTAGATATCAGAGATGTATTGCATTGGAGCTCTCGTTGTAACGGAATGGTAAATTCATGAAAATCTGAATCTCAAAATTTCGAGATCATTGAAGATTTAGAAAATGAATTGTTTTGTAATCAATAGAGGGCGCACTACAATTGTTGGACTTACACAGCATGCATTGTGCGTAGCATGCGATAGTTTCTTTGAGTAACTTGAGTGCTTTCATGAATAACATTACTAGGCTGGGCTTACGCTGTAGCCTTTACTGTATTATATGTCGCGGGTGAACCTGTTGGCCTTTAAGAAGGCCAAGACAACAACACCTCAAAGCGCAGTAACGGAAAAGCTTCTGCACCTAAACCCTGTCACCTAGGCAGTAAACATCATCTACTTCGGAGCTGCCTTATGAATATCGAATCAGGTTATCGCGATGCCTCCTAGTCCTAGCGACACACCAGCCTGGCCGAATCCCTTGGAAGCGGGCACGGACGTGGACCAACCGGCCAGCCAAAAAGCTCAACTTGCCGCCGGGTCCCGCAGCGGGAACTTGCTTGGTTTGCTCCGCAAACATGGATTATCGTTCGTCATGCTGCTGTCTGTTTGGGGATTGGGTTATTTCCGATTCAGCTGGAGCTGGCTGCTGCTGGTAAATAAAAACTCACTGTAACTGAAGGAATTTCCAATGTTTTTATTGCCAGAGTTAGAAAAATGTCATTTAAAAATGCAGAAGGTAGTGGTCATGGAGTTCTTACCATGTTCTTTCGTGCATCATATGGCATTTCCGAATTTTGCGTTGGACTTTTAGTTGACACTTCCTTCAGAAATTTTGCTTTCATAATATTGTCATTGATGTGCTGAGGACTTACCCTCAGAACTGTGGGGTCCAACGTCTGCCCCGCTCCTCTTGGGAGTGGGGCGGATGTCGGACCCCACAGTTCTGGGAGTACTGAGGGCTGTGATTTAAATGCTGTATCTGAGTGTTACCTAGGCTAAGTTACCTAAGTTACCAACATGACTGTTAACCCTTATAACCCTCATTCAAAATCCTCCAACTGCCCCCATGAAAATATTGGATACAGCCTCAATTTTCCAAAATGCACTGAGCTTTCTTGAATGTGTTCCGTGGAGATATTACCACTGCCTCAATCTGTCAAAAATCTTCTGACATTTCCTCTCACTGTGTTGAGGCAATGTAAATGGTAATTGGTATCCTCCGGCCAGCTAGCAGTGTAGATGAGGGACGGTAATCAAGGCATGGATTTATGCATGGGGGACATAAACAATACAAGGCTTAACTCCAGACCTTGAGACTGTGCACCCTTCACAATCTGCAACGCAGGAGTTGTACCATACAGCCTCAGTCCTCCAAAATCCTCTGAGCGTTTTTGGAGGATTGAGGATGGTTAAGGTTAAAATTAGTGGCAGCACAAATCAAAAGGAAACAAAAAGTCTTTCCAAATTCAATCTGAAAGTCCAAATGCTGATGTTTGGAAATTTGGAAGATTCCCAAACACTGCACACTTTTGGTAAATACCATAAGCCCCAAGATAATAAGATGACAGTATAGGTTTCTTTTTTTTTAACTATTCTCAATGCCTGTACATGTAGGCCTATGTTCATCAAATCTAATTGAATCACTAAACTCATAATTATATAACAAGGGTCACTGGAATTCACCGGAATTGACTTTCTGTATAGTTTGAACTTCAATAATCACACCACGAAAATGCTATTTCTATTGTTACACAGAAAACATGCCATGTTTGTTTCTACCACTCGTGGAAAAGTCATGTAACTGTAGAATGTATATTATGAGCAATGTGCTTTATATTTGACCATAGGTGACAGTGGTAATGGTATGGCGGGAACGTAGCAGCCATCAAAAACGCTGGACCATGGAACTCGCTCGTCGAGCCACTGAGAATGAGAAGCAGACAATACTCAGTGCCGTCAACAACCTACCATCATGGGTCAGTTAGTGATCTACATGTACATCTCTACAAGAGGCAGAGTGATAAGCCATATATATATACATGTACATGTATATAGTTTGGGTATTTAGGGATTCAGATGATTTTCTCTAAGCCATGAGTACAATTCCCACTTTCTTGCTTAGAGTAGAGTACATGACTCTTTTGCCCTGAGTGTTGTTTTGTATTGTACTCTTCCTCTTCCTGAGAGGGAGAGTACTGTACTCCCTGAGAGGTGGAGGAACTGAGTACCCATATTATGAGAGTTTGTCCTTGTGCCTTAGTAAATATAATAATACTTGTTATTTCTCTTGAAAAACACAGTAAAAACAGTGCTTAGTAATAACCATGAACTCATGACAGCATAGACAAAATCATATAAGTCCGTACCACACACAGATGTCATGTTGACTGGCTGCCGTGGGCACAAGCCCGGCAGGGGCCATTCAGAAAATCCCCGGTGCACTTCATCCCTTGGCAGCCAAATGCGCTCACACTCGCGATCTAAACTTCAATATTTTTAAGGTGTTTCAGACTCAAATTTTCCAAAAGTGATACCTGGTTTCTTGTAGATGTACCAGAAAGCTTTTAAAATGCCACTTGAAAATGCCAGTGTTTAGCAGATCAAAATTTGCAGAAAACTTCACGTTTTTGAGGAACTTTCAATGAGGAGTTCAGGCTACTCAAACCCTATCCATTCTTGCAAAAATCAATGAAAATGGTTTGGTCCCCGTGGGCTAGGAATCAATTTTACTGCATCGTGTCTGTGGGGAGTCTGGTGACCAGGTGTTCGTACACAAAAACGATCCATGCGCACAATGCGTGTGCAGTAGCCCATTTCAGTCTACAACACCTTCCACTTCGGGTCTTTCCCGTCAATTCAGGATTTTCTGAAAAAGTTATCTTGGTTATGCATGGAGCGGCTGGAAAAGCTGTATACAGATGAACATGAACAGATCGGTTTCAGTACCATCCACTACAAATGTTACTCTGTGGTGCATGGCATAATTGACGAAACATGAAAAATACGGAAACTTATGGTACTCTTTCTATAGTGGAACTCACTGCATATTTTACGTTCTGCATGAGGTTTTATGCTGCTTATTTTGACTAGATTTCCAAGTCTGGAAGTGTACATATATACGCCAATACACGTTATCTAAACCCCTGGTATTCCTGTCGATACACTCGAGTCTCTCACTGATCTATTTTTCAAAATTCAGTACATGTCTATCCGAGCATAAAGCATGCTTTAGTCTCATTTGACCCAACACCCTCTTCACTCTTGCAAGGAACTGTTACGTCTTTTTCCTAAGCAAGTTTCATATTCTGTGTGCTTACTGTCAACAGGACGGAACATTAAATGTCATGCTTTTAACTGTGCACTGTGCACGGTTTAGTAGTACCATAGTCTACTCTCCTCAGGTCTCCCAAGTACTCTAATAGAGAGAAGATGTTGTAGTACCTGGGAGAGTTGGAGTTGGAAATTGCCAACTTGAATAGGCTAGGAAATACTACAGAGTTAAACTGTTTTATTGTTAAATTGCAGTTTAGGATTGATGAACAAACTGTTTAGTGAAGTAACTGGGTGTGTTGTCTTGATGGTATACTTGCATGAAGTATGTTATCAGATGTCTCAAATTAAGTATTAAGATCCTACATCTCTAAATGGCGTCTAAATGTATGCAAATGCATGTCACCTACATGTACATGTACATGGATGCACAGTCAAATCAGCCACTTAACAGTCAGTCAGCAGGCCAAACAAAAATGGTTGTTTCCTTTCATATGGAAAACAAAATAAAAATAAGTTGATGGAGAGATGGGATTACATTTAACAAATGACTCTCAGAATGAAAATTGTACAGGTTCATGTCACATACTAGCACAGTACATTGGTGAAGAATGTTCAAGTCGAACATGGATTGTTGTGTATGTATACATGTACATGTAGTTCATGTAGCATACATGTACATGTAGTTCATGTAGCATACATGTACATGTATGCCCTACAAGAGAGACAGGTTTTTTTAAAGCTGATCAGCTATACACATCAACCAGACTAATGGCAACATGCATTTTGTTGTTTGGCCATTTTAATGTGACGACCAGTATGTTATTGCTGGTTTCGTAACAGGTGATCACACAGTCAATTTGTGCATTGATTAAAGCAGGTTTTGGCAATATCTGTTGATTTGCAACAATTCTAGTCCCTGATTGTTTTGTTGGTTTGACTTGAAATGGAGACAGGTACATGTAGGTCCTCTGTTGCATTAAAGGGTCCATGCATGGCATGTAAAGAAGTTTTTTTCAATACAATTCTAAAAACTACAACCTTGTTCCTCATTTAACTTTATTTCCAGTTTATGCTTTGCTGTTTGAAAGGGTTATTCAGGGCTATTTTTTTGGGGGGGAGGTGGAAAATTCCCTTCCCCGTTCAAGTTCGACATTTTGTCCTCAGTGCTGTGCATTTTTGTCAGCAGCTGAGCCTTCGCTAGTTTTAGAGTAACTTTTTGTGGTCGTTTTGATACCTATTTGTGAAAATCAAGCACACCATTCTTGCACAGCTCCTATTTTTCTGAGACGGGTCAGCCAAGTACTTTTCTCACTGCCGTGCTCAGTGCACATGTATGGGCTTGAACACCTTCAACTTAAGTGACCATAATAAGAAAACAGTATGTCTGATTGAGTTCAAACTTTACATGTATCCTATTAAAGAGTACCTTTACATGCATGCAAAGTTTCAGAACAGTTGAGCTTGGTTCATTTGTTCATTGGTCCCATCCTCCGCTGTGAGATGGTTCAAAATAACCAGGCTCTTCAAATGAGGATTAAGCCTCAAATTCATTGCAATACTCTGTACTATCTCAGGTCTTCTAAAATCATTTATTTTGTTCAGAAATGTGAAGAAAGAGGGAAAAATTCCCATATACATGTACAGTAGGTTTAATTAAATGGGCTTCTAGATGTACATGTAATTCAGAACAATAATTTACCGGGTGGAATGAGGAGGACTAATGTTCTTTTATGGTAAAGTATTGAAGGACATAGACACACATGTACACAGTGCAGTGAGTATGGCTTTATAGAGGTTGTGCATTAACGCGTCCTCAAAGGGTAAAAGCCTTGTACCAGTACACATGTATTACTGGGATAGGCTCAAGTGAACCTTTTGTGCATTCCTTGTATTAACTAAATTAAAATAACAAAAACCGGCTCTGAGATGCAGTATACCACAGAGATGTCAGCAACACATCACCTCTATTAAATCACAGTAGGATTGAAAAGTAACAAATAAAGGAAGGTTGAATTTCTTCCCAGCCATGCCAGCCAGCATGTACATGTACACAAAAAAGGCTCAGGCATACATTTATCAGTACATGTATGTGATTGTTAGACGATACACCTGTTAATGTACATGTACATGTATGTATGCTACATGCACATTTCTACATGTACATGTACATGTACAATGTACACTACACACATGTATTCTGAACTCAGGTGCCCTCTTGCATCAATACCATACATGTGAAGGAATGAGAATTGCTAAGTTGTTGCTGCAAATGGAAGACCACAGTACTCTTATCCATTATACACATGCAGCTTGGACAATGGATATTGCTCTTCTAATCCCATAATGACATTGGGGGAGGGGGCACACCTACATCTAAGTCTCCCAATACAGCAGTACTTGCTCTGTAGTTGTGGGGACAAACACAATATTTCACCTATATTGTGAGGACCAAACACATTATGGGAGCAAAGAAATGTCCCAATCAATTCAGTAGGGTAGGGTAGGATTACACCGACATGTAAGTGTGAGAGTCTTTGAAACTGTTTGATACAGAGTTCTGGATATGGATGTTCTCCAGCCTTAATGGAGGTAAGAGGAACTAGCAGATTGGATTGTGAGCGAAGACCAGAGATTTGAAGCGTTTCATGGTTGAGGAAGCAAATAAACAGATTTGCGGTAGCACAACGGAGTGAAGACTTTTACAGTTCCATTTACTGAAATCAGTTACATGTATGTTTAAAATGTAGGATGGGACACTGTCGGGCATAGTTTTATCCATGTACATGTCCAGTGCATTCTAAAAACCTGCTGTGCAGTTCCATGAGTAGATCAAGGTATCGTTGGGAATACTTTGGCTTGAGATGGATCAGTCAAGCACACTTGCCACGGAAGTGGTGGGGCCAGGGTTGCCACGGAAGTGATTGGGCCAGGGTTACCACGGAAGTGGTGGGGCCAGGGTTGCCA